GCACTCCAAAGCAGCGGCCAAGAACGGCTCCTCTCAACAATATGGTGATGGTAATGGTAATGATAATGGTAATTTCACAAAATATGCCGCTTAATACAATACACACTAGACTTTAAATCGCATCTATGATTGACCAATGCCTGCTGGAGCTACGGTCACAAAATGTTTTAAATTCAGAAACTTTTGACCGTTTCAAAAGCTGTGGAGTGCTACGGACGGATGTAAACAAAACAGCAGAATATAACGGTAGAAGGAAGAGATTTGCGAGACGGAGAAAGCGAGGCTGCAGAGGGGGGCTTACTGCGAACCTAAAGAGAAATCCCCACAGACCTCCACTTCCATCAATCCTGCTCTCCAATGTCCGCTCGTTGGATAACTAAATAGATAATCTTCGACTGGAACTGTCTTCAAGAAAGGACAAATGTAACTGCTGCGCCATCATTCTGACTGAGTTTTGGCCGCATCCGGCAATACCAGAAAAAGTTATTAGCCTGGAGGGGCTAACTCTATACCGCGCCGATAGGAACAAAGAACTAAGCGGTAAGATTCGGGGTGGTGGGCTATGTGTTTACATCGATAAGAAGAATGCTAGATCAGTTTCTGCTCTCCAGACATCGAATTTCTGACTGTTAACTTCAGGCCGTTCTATCTGCCCAAGGAGTTCAGTGGGGTTAGCATTACTGCTGTTCACGTGCCCCTCAGTCCTAACACTAAAGAGGCCATGAAGACTCTATGCCAGGCTATCTCTGAGCCCCAATCTGCACACAGAGGGCATTTTCATCAGTGCTGGGGATTTTAACCAGGCTAACTTGAAGACTGTTCTCCCCCCATTTCTACCAACATGTGACTTTAGACCTGGTTTACTCTAACATCAAAGATGCATTCAGAGCAGCCCCCCACCCCCACCTCGGGTCATCAGATCATCTCTCAGTCATGCTTATCACTTCATATAAGCCCCTGCTGATCAGGGCTAAACCGTCAGTTAAAGAGTTTCGAGTGTGGTCTGAAGACACCATGGAGACACTCAAAGACTGTTTTGAATGCTCTGACTGGAACATCCTCAAGGCTGCAGCAACATTTGACAACCTATAAAATATTGATGAGTATGCCATGACTGTGTCAGCCTACATTAACGAATGCATTGAGGACGTCAGCATCAAAAAGAACTTCACCACCCGGGCCAACCAACCTCCCTGGATAAATGGAGAGGTTCTGAAATCGCTAAAAGCACGGAACTCAGCTTTCAAGTCTGGTGATAAAGAGGCAGTGAGAATAGCGCGTGCCAACTTAAATCGTGCCATTAGATCAGCAAAGCAGAACCACAGACAGAAGATCCAGGATCTTTTCTAAGACAACAGCAACACTAGGACGATCTGGAAAGGCATTTGGATGATCACAAACTACAACACCCCCCCCTGGTAGATGCAGCAAACAATGACATCCTAAATGACATCCTAAATGAACCGAACAACTTCTTTGGAAGGTTTGATCCCTAGTGCCAGCATACTCCAAGTCTGCCACCATTATTCCAGTCTCAAAAAACCCTCAGGTCACCTCACTAAATGATTACCGGCCTGTCGCACTGACTCCTATCAGGATGGATTGCTTCCAAAGGCTGGTTAAACACATCGTCTCCAGTCAGCCACCAACATTTGACCCGTTCCAGTTTGCCTACTGACGCAACGCTCCACTTTGGACGCCATATCTGCTGCTCTCCACCTGAGCATGGCACACCTGGAGGAGAACACTCACGTGCGGATGCTGTTCCTGGAAGTCAGATCACTATCATCCCACATTACATACACCCCTCCGCAATTGGCTTCTAGACTTCCTCACCTCTGATGTCATCAGTCTAACCACAGGCTCCCCTCAGGGCTGGGTCCTGAGCCCCCTGCTGTTCACCCTGACGACACATGACTACGTCCCCAGGTTCACCACCATTCACATTGTGACAGCACCACGGTGTTGGGCCTCTTCAGAGACGACTGGACTACAGAGAGGAGGTGGAGCAGCTGGTGAAATGCAACGATAATATCCTGAACGTGAAGAAGACGAAGGAGATCATCTTGGACTTCAGGAAGAACCGGCCTAACCATGCTCCACTGGTCATCAACAGCGCAGCTGTAGAGGTGGTCAACAGCACCAAATTCTTGGGGGTGCACATCACAGACACCCTCACCTGGAATGTAAACACCACCTCACTGGTCAAAAGGGCACAGAAGCACATGTACTTCTTGCGGAGGATGAGGAGAACCCACCTGCCCCCACCTTCCTCACCACCTTCAACAGAAGCACCATAGAGAGCGTTCTGACTAGCTGTCTCACTGTTTGGTGTGGAGGCTGCAGCGTCTCAGACTGGAAGAAAGTGAGGAGAGTGGTTAGAAAAGCAGAGAAGATCATTGGGGCTCCTCTACCCTCTGGAAAAAGGCTTCACAGCATTTGATGAAGGTCTAGTCCAGTGGTTCCCAAAGTGTGGGGCGCGCCCCCTAGGGGGGGTGCAATGCCATTGCAGGGGGGGCGCGGGAAGTGGTATGGATGAATGAACAAAAAAACAAAAAACAGTGCTTGCTTGACTGAGCATAATGGACAGGTTTTTGACGGGGCTCCCTACATGTAAGGCAGAAGATGAACCACTGCAAAATATGCTTCCAAACCAGCTTTCTTCAAAGACAAAGAGTAGAAAATATGACGAAGCATATCTTTTCTTTGGCTTCACATGTACAACGGTGGGTAATGAGGAGAGACCACAGTGTGTTGCCTGTCTTACAGTGCTAGCTTGTGACAGTCTGAAGCCCAACAAGCTAAGACGACACTTGGAAGACCGTACATCCAGAGCACAGAGACAAGTCAGTTGACTTTTTCAGACAAAAACTGCCGGTCTCAGCAATCTTTCTTTACAAAAGCTGCATCCTTGTTGGCAAATGCTCAGCTCGCTTCATATAAAGTTGCCTACCGAGTTGCACAGTGTAAAAAGCTGCACACGGTTGCGGAGGAACTAAAACTTCCCTTTGCTATGGACATGGTTTCAACTATGATTGATGATTCAGCTGCCAGCAAACTGCGGGCTCTGTAATGAACGACGTCATCGCCACAGTCAACTACATTAAAACACGACCTGTCAAAGCCCGAATTTTTTCAGCACTGTGCGAGGAAATGGGCTCCGACCACACAGCTGTTCTATTTCACAGCGAGTCCCGATGGCTGTCGCGTGTGAAAGTGTTGTCCAGGGTTTTTGAACTGCGAGATGAGATACGCATCTTTTTGGAGGAGGAAGGCAGCGATCTTGCCCACAAATTTAACTGTAACAAGTTCCTCATGAAACTTGCATATCTCAGTGACATGTTTCTGAAACTCAATGGACTGAATTTGCAGATGCAAGGCCCAAACACACACCTTCCACATCTGGCAGATAAAGTCACCTCATTTATCAGAAAACTAGAGATGTGGGGGCAGCGGGTGGAGGATGGAAATGTGGACTCATTTGAGAACCTGAAATCCTTCACTGAAGGCAACAAGCTGCAGAAAACAGTGATCTCATGCATGGAAGCACACATCTGTGCCCTTTAGAAACATCTCCAGAAATATTTCCTGGTGCAGGATTCCAATAAATATGACTGGATCCGTGATCCTTTCAGTGCAACACCACCTGCCGACTTCAGCACATCAGAAGAGGAGCAGTTCATTGATATCACCTCCGATTCCACAATGAGGCTGCAGTGTAGCTCAAAGACACTGGCTGCATTTTGGATAGGAGTGGCGAAAGATTACCCTCTGTTAGGAAAGAGAGCACTGGCCACACTTCTTCCTTTTGCCACGTCCTACCTATGTGCAATAGGTTTTTCTGCTGTGGCCTCAATCAAGACCAAATACAGATCAAAGCTAATGAACAGTTGTGACACTGCAACCCAGATTTGAGAAGATCTGCACCAACAAGCAGGCTTACCACAGCCACTGAAAAGATGGGAGGATTAAAGTAATTTTTGCAAAGAAAAAAAACTCAGGGAGCTGTTCATGTTTTCACTCCATTTTGCACGGAGGCTTTTTTTAATGTGTTGATGATAGCATAGTTAAATATTGTTACAAAATAAAAATAAAAAAAGAAGTATGTTTAAAATAACACTGGCAACACAGAATCCCCTTCTAATGTACAGTATAGAACTAGGAAAAAAAGTGTTCTACTCTAAAGATAGTGTGCAGTTTGTTTTGTTGCAACCTGAAGTGTGAAATAAACTTCAGTGGAGTTTGAAAACAAAACATGTGTAAAGGTTTATTATATCTGGTTGAACGATGTGTGTGCCCTGTTGATTTATTTTTTTTTTTTTTGGGGGGGGTGGAATTTTATTGTAATCCAAAGGGGGGCCCAGAAGAAAATCTTTGGGAACCACTGGTCTAGTCAATTCTATAACAGTTTCTTCCCCACTGCCATTAGACTGCTGAATGTTTTGTAAAATGCGTTATTGTATTATTTTATTATATTTATTATTATTGTTTTATATATATAAAAAAACAGAAATGTTAGAAGTGTAAATGTACAGTCATATGTTTATATAACTGTTTTTATATATTTTTTACTATTTTTCACTGCACTTAAAAAAAAAATTGTCCAGAGAGCTCTTTTTGTTTGACACTTGTGTAAACAAAATGACAAATAAATCTGTCTAAGTCTAAGTCAAATGTTTAACTGAGAAAAATGGAGAAATGGAAACATATTACAGATTTTTCTGAGTAAAAGCAATTGCACAGCATAACATGGATAAACTCTACATGCATCACAATCATTCACTGAATTCTCACAAAGGGGCAACGTAGATCATTCATAGACTTGAAGTATGATAATAATAAACATAAAGGCAAAATGCACTCTCCTTTCACATATGATTATCCTGTTTCAGCTAAAACTTTATGGAATTTAAACTTGGTTGTCTGCATTACAATTGAACACTAACCTACTGCCTCATGAGGATTGTCTTAAATGAAGTTTATCAATGTCTGTTTTTCAGAGGGAAGAGCAGTCTCACAAAGAGCGTTGGCAGCACCTAGCTGACTTGGCAGACTTTGCTCTGGCCATGAAGGTGACCCTAATGAACATCAACTACCAGTCATTCAACAACTTCATGTTACGTATCGGTATGGCTTTTTCCTTTACCTGGGGATGTGGGTTAAACTGCTGCTGTTGCCATTTATAGTTAAGGCCAAAGGTTTGCAAGGTAGATAAGTTTTTTTTTTTTTCAAAAAAAGATCATAATTTTGGTTAGATCTGTACAATGTCTGAAACTGTATTCATATCAACATGTATATAATCTCACAGAACTATTTTATGTGTATTTTATCATGTAATGTGTGTCCTGGATTTAAGCATTGTTTAATCATATTCTGCAGGACTATTCTTAGCATGTCCGATAATGACGTCAGAGAGGCTGTTTAACAAAGAAAATGTGAAAAGTCAAAATGTTCTCACAAAAGTCATAGCACATTTGTTAAAAATGTGTATTAGCATTCTTTAGGGAGTTATGGATAGAAATAAGCAATTTTAGTACCATAATTACATTGTTTATGGCCACCCGGATGTATCTGTTCGCGCATGCGCAGGACGGCTCGTGCTTCCGGGACGGATCGAGTAGTGACAGCCCCCCGAGCTATCCTATACCTTTGTATTGCAGAGGATCTATTTGTTTGTGTATTTTAACTTAAGTACAAGTTAAAATACACAAACAAATAAATACTCATCTGTAATGGATTACTGTAGTGGAGATGGATGGACCCAAAGACAACCCGCAAACAGGTCAGTGAAGCGTTAACAGTCTTTATTTGAGAGAGAGGGCGGCACGGACTCCCGGGAAGAACGATCAGGCTCAGCAACAGGCAGCTCCTATAGACAGAGTGGTGGTTAGTGACCAGTGGAGGCAGGCAGATGTTTGAGTAAGGAACTTGGTCATGGTTGGGCTCAGTCCGGTTGGGCTCAGTCCGGTTTCAGGAGAGGAGGGAGTCCGTGCTGGGGAAATCCTAGGTTCGGTCCGGGTCTTGACGAGGGGGGAGTCCGTAAATCCAGCAGAGGTATCCAAGGGGGAATCCAGGGGAAGTTCCGAGTCCAAATCCAGTTCAATATCCACAGAAGCAAACACAGTTCAAAGGGGCAGGCAGTCTCAGTTACTCACAGGCAGGCTGGGTCAGAAACACGGTTTGGCAGTCCAGATCTCTGAGGCTGACGAGCAGGGCTCAGGCGGGCAGACAAAAATCCAGAAAGGGGGTAAGGCAGGCTAAAAAAACTGGGACAAAAACAGGTCGAGGTTCAGACAGGCAGATGCACATAAGGAATAGGCTGGAAGTTCTCACCAAGAGACTTGAGACGTTCTGGCACTGGAGGCAGGAGGGACAGAGCTTTTAAGCAGGAGGGGAGGAGAGAGAACAGGTGCACTGATTGCAATTAGCAGCTCCAGAGCCAGGAACATTACAGAGCCCCACCCTCAAGGGCGGATTCCAGATGCCCTAGGCTGGTCCGGGTGGGCCCTGTGGAAATCCCTAATAAGGGATTTGTCCAAGATGTGGCGGGCAGGAACCCACTGACGCTCTTCGGGCCCATAGCCCTCCCAATCAACGAGGTACTGGGTACCACGACCCCACTTACGGGACATCAGGAGCCTCCTAACAGAGTAAACTGGGGAGCCATCAACCAGGCGGGCGGGCGGTGGGGGCGTGGAGGAGGGAACCAAACTGGAGGTTTTGACAGGTTTGACCCGGGAGACATGAAAAGTGGGATGGACCTTCATGGTGGGAGGGAGGGGGAGGCGTACTGCCACCTGGTTGACCACCTTGGAGATGGTGAACGGTCCGACAAACCGCGTGGCCAACTTCCTATTGTCGACCTTCAGGGGAAGGTCCCTGGTGGAAAGCCAGACCCTGTCTCCCACCTGGTACTGCGGAGCTGGGACTCGCCGGAGGTTAGCTGCACGGACCTGATTTTGGGAGGCCGCGTGTATGGCTCTCTTGGCCCGCATCCAGGCACGCTGGCACCTCATGGCTGAAAGGCGGGCAGAGGGGACCCTGGACTCTACCTCCTCAGTAGTGAACACCGGCGGCTGGAACCCGTAAACGACGTAGAAGGGGGAGAGACCTGTAGAGCTGGATGGGGTGGCGTTAATCGCGTGCTCGACCCAGGGCAAATTCAGAGCCCATTTAGAGGGATCAGACTGGCAAAAGAGGCGAATCTTGGTCTCAACCTTTCAGATTGGCCGTCAGTTTGGGGGTGGAAGCCGGAGGAGAGGTTAACGGAGATGCCGAGCATGGCACAAAACTCCTGCCAATAACAGGCCACAAACTGGGGACCCCGATCTGACACAATGTCAGAAGGCAGGCCATGTAACCTAAACACCTCCTTGGCCAGGATCAACCCCATCTCTTTGGCTGAGGGGAGCTTGGGTAAAGGGACCAAATGGACCATTTTGGAGAAACGGTCCACAATTGTGAGGATAACTGAGAAGCCGTCGGAGGAGGGGAGACCAGTGATGAAGTCCATAGAAAGGCTGGACCAAGGCCGAGAAGGGATGGGCAGAGGTCGAAGCAGACCTGACGGAGGGCGATGGGAAGCCTTAGCCTGATTGCAGGGGGAACAGGCAGAGACGAACTCACCGACGTCTTTGGCCAGAGAAGGCCACCAAAACTGAGATCGGATGAGCCGAATGGTTTTGTTGATGCCAGGATGACCATAAAGGCGAGAGCTGTGACAGAGTTCAACGACTTTGGGTCTGAGGTGGAGAGGGACAAAGAGCCTGTCCTTGGGACAGGCCTCGGGTATCTGTACAGACCCTAGAGAGTCCCTTACCTCCTTTTCGAGCCCGAGGCGGGAAACAGCACACCTTACTGTGTCTGGCAGGATGAACCCCCGTTCTTGGTCGTCGTCTACCTCCTCTGGCTCGAAGAGCCTGGACAAGGCGTCAGGCTTGATGTTCTTAGGACCCGGCCTGTAGGAAAGGGTGAAGTTGAAACGACTGAAAAACAAAGCCCACCTGGCCTGTCTGGGGTTAAGTCTCCTAGCAGTCTTGAGATATTCCAGGTTGCGGTGGTCAGTCCAGACCAAGAATGGAAGCTTGGAACCCTCGAGCCAGTGCCTCCATTCCTCGAGGGCCAACTTAACCGCCAAGAGCTCCCGGTTGCCCACATCATAATTCTGCTCTGATTTTGACAACTTCCTGGAAAAGAAAGCACAAGGGTGAATGCGGCCATCAACGGACTCCTGGCTAAGGACAGCCCCTACCCCAGAACTAGAGGCATCTACCTCCACAATGAATTGCCTCTCCGGGTCGGGGGAAACGAGGATAGGTGCGGAGGTGAACCGTTCCTTAAGGCGTTTGAAGGCAATTTCTGCCTGCTCGTTCCAAATAAATTTGGCCTTGCTAGAGGTGAGAGCATGGAGTGGAGAAGCGACCTGACTGTAGTTGGTAATAAACCTCCTTATGATTACCTCCCATCGTTAGCTCCACAAGTTCAGAGACGAGGCGTGACTGGTTGAGTTCGTGACCATCCAGGGCGAGCACACTGCGGGGGGATGAGCCAGGGTGGAGTTGGATACTCAATCTTCTGGCCAAACCTTCATCCATGAACTCAGTGTCGGCTCCTGAGTCGATGAAAACTGACAAACTATGGGATTTAGAAGAGAAGGTTAGAGTGGCTGGAAGTAAACGGTCAGAGGAGACGGCCAGTTTGGTGTAGCTCAGTAGGGATCCCCCACCCCCTACAGAGCTTTGTCTTTTGCTGGACAAGACCGAGCTCGATGGCCATCCCCCCCGCAATAGAGACAGAGTCCCTGCTGCTGTCTGCGCTGGTACTCATCTCTTGACAGGCCCACCTTGCCCAGCTGCATAGGTTCAGGTTCAGAGGGCTTAAGAGTAACCGGAGATGAAACAGGAGGAGGAGCCGAAAACCGAGGATGGGTTGTGGGGTTAGAGCGACGTTCCCTTCTTCGCTCCATTAGACGGAGGTCTACCCTAGTGGCAAGCTCCTTGAGCTGACTTAGGGTCTTAGGGTAATCCCGGGTGGCCAGCTCATCCTTAATCTTGTCATTAAGACCATGAATAAAAACATCCATGAGGGCATATTCATTCCATAAACTCTCTGCAGCCAGTAAATGGAAATCAATAATATAATCAGCCACTGATCTATCCCCCTGTCTAAGAGATAAGAGCCCCCTAGAGGACTCCCGGCAGGGGAGCACGGGACTGAACACCCTCACAAGCTCTTTGGAGAAGTCATCATACGAGTGGCAAATGTGTGTATCATTCTGCCACTCGGAGGTTCCCCACAGTCTGGCTTTACCGGCCAACAGGGAAATAACATAGGCGACTCTAGACCGGTCAGTAGGGAAGGAGGATGGCTGCAGCTCGAAATGTATCTCACACTGTGTGAGAAAAGCCCGACAATGCTCCGGATCGCCACTAAAAAGCCCAGGCGGAGAGAGACGGGGCTCTGACGGAAATGACGTCACCGGAAGTGACGGGGGACTCGGAGGAGCTGCTTGCGGAAGTGGAGGCTGTAGGGTAGCCTGGTTTCGGAGATGATTGAGGATCTCCGAAACGCCGGCTTCTAAGTCAGAAATAGACTTTTCTACCCCCGCGTGCCACTGATCCCCGGGTGCAGGGTCCATGTTTTCCATTATTTTGGCCAGAACGTACTGTAATGGATTACTGTAGTGGAGATGGGTGGACCCAAAGACAACCCGCAAACAGGTCAGTGAAGCGTTAACAGTCTTTATTTGAGAGAGAGGGCGGCACGGAAGAACGATTAGGCTCAGCGACAGGCAGCTCCTATAGACAGAGTGGTGGTTAGTGACCAGTGGAGGCAGGTAGATGTTTGAGTAAGGAACCTGGTCACTAACCTGGCTACAAGAAGGCTCGGTTGGGCTCAGTCCGGTTTCAGGAGAGGAGGGAGTCCGTGCTGGGGAAATCCTAGGTTCGGTCCGGGTCTTGACGAGGGGGGAGTCCGTAAATCCAGCAGAGGTATCCAAGGGGGAATCCAGGGGAAGTTCCGAGTCCAAATCCAGTTCAATATCCACAGAAGCAAACACAGTTCAAAGGGGCAGGCAATCTCAGTTACTCACAGGCAGGCTGGGTCAGAAACACGGTTTGGCAGTCCAG